AACCATACATCCTAATGCCTTTATTTGCTCACCTTTCCTAAAAGCCTTGTCTTTTTCAGTTCCATAATTGAAGAAACAACAAATTATTTTGTTGCAAATGGAAATGAGACCCAGAGCAAAAGCTTTCGCCCTCTGGCATCTAGCTAGAGAGGAACAAGTTGGTTTTACATAACATTTTAACATGCCAGTCCTTTGGACCATATTACAGAAACTGAGCACAAAAACTTGTGTTTGTCTTCTAACATGGCATATAAAATTTAAGATATCAAACTCTTGACTTCAAGGATGTCTGTGCCTATGTTTATACCACATGTTACGGTGTCAGAAGCATTGTGTGGAGCTCCTGGCAGGTTAATTTAAAGTCATTAAGCACATTAGGACAGGTTAGTCTTTACAGATTGACTAAGTGCTGCCTAATACCATGGGTGATGCCAGAGTTGGTGGTGGTGAGTAGCTCTCCCTGAAGGAGTGCCAGCCCTGAATTCTCAGCATCTTACTATGAGGCAGAATGGTTCTCCTTAATTAAGTGTGGTGGAGATCTGGGTAAAATATGGAAGCTTAAAAATAATTATTGTACTGCACATTTTTAATAAAAAAATATTGGAATTCATGAAAGTGCAGTAGTAATGCAAATACTGTTGTGGCTGGTGGCCATATCTGAGGTCCCTGTGGGAAAGTTCAGAGTTAGTTAACTCACCTTAGGAGCTGGAGCTTTACAGCATCTTTAATCCAAGTTTAGGACACAAAAGCTGAGTGGCTTTTGCTTGAAGGGAGAACTTTAGGGAGGGACAAGCATTTGAGCTAAAACACAGTCCTTTGCTGCTTTAAGTACAAGCCTGTCCTTAGGCTTTGTTTGTTTTAAAACTGAGGCAGGCCTAGGAAGAGGATGAAAGCTCAGACAGTGCCCAGCTGTGTGTGCCATGAGATGTGGATTCTGCCTGTTCTCATCCACGCTTCAGCAAGAATCAGGGGGATGTGTATGTTGAGGGGGGGAAAAGGCTTTTTCTCAAAGTGAAGTACTTGCAATAATTGCACTTCTGCAAGTATCAAACCTCTTTGGTTCCTGTACAAGGGCTGTGTATTTGAAGAGTTCAAGAATGTTAAATTGGCAGAGTTCATTGGAGGAGCATAATTTGGTTAATATGAAAAACCTAAAACACTAATGAACCCCTGTCCAAGAGGCATGCCTTAGTGTGTTGGAGGAAGGTATACAGAATGGAAAGTTCTGGGCTGTGTTTGTATATGAAAAGAATCTGAATAATTTGGGTTTTGTTTTTGCTACGTGTGTGAAAGGAGCATGTGGATATTGTTTTTATATTGTTGTTAAACCCAAAGTGTTCCAGCTACTTTAACACAATCTAATCTAAAACCACCATATAATATGAGTCCAGACTGGCGTAGAAACTGCAGGAATGCTCACGGTAGGACAAAATTGCCCTTTCACTAATGATTTCAGCACAGCAAAGTACAAGTTCAGTTTGTGTGTTGGGGTTTTTTTGGTCTGGAGACATGCCTTTCAAAATAACTTGATAGTTATTGCTTAACTTGATAGACTGCATTGTTTATTTTTTAAATTTATTTACTAATTGATTTCCAGAGGTCAGGTCCTTTGCTGAAATTTAAATCAATCAGAAACAATTCAGGTTTCACCTGAGTTGAGCAGCATTACTTATTATTAGTGATGACACTTATTTCAGTGTTATGGAGTTGTTTTGGGGTGTCATTGTGCAACTTTGTGGTTTAAAAAAGCTTTGCTAGGTCCATTCTTACATTTCTTGTAAATGTCTTGAAAACATTCGAAACATTTGAAAACATTTCTTGTTTTTCTTAATGTATCTCTATTTTCATGTATAATTGAAAACTGTATCAGTACTTTTCAGTTGTTAGGTGCCAGAAGTTTTTATTTTGTGCTAAATTGGCCAACAGTAGAATTTAGAATGTGTGATTTCTTTGTAAATAATTGATGCTTTAAAATTTTTTTTTTAAAGTGACACTCTCTGATTATCCAACTCAAAAACCCCTCTTATTTATCAATTGATCCATTCAGCTGTGAACAGCTTTCCTTTTTTTTGTTTGTATTTGATTTGTATTACAGGCAAAGTGACAGCACACATGCGCTGAAGCAGCAATCAGTTTACTTGTATATTTTGTCTCTATTTATATAGACCTAAAAATTGTATTTGTATGAAGTTGCATTAGTAGTTTTATCCATGGAAAGAAGCGTTCACAATTCTGTGACTTTTGTTTGATATTTCTATGGCAGTTGTGGGGTTTACAGGATCCTTGGTACACTGATACTACTGAAAGGTGCTGAACGTTTTCAGTTTCAATGCGAATCAAAGCAAAGTTACTTAGTTATTTGCTGCTTTGTCTTTCAGCAAGAAGAATCTGTGATAGAGACAGACAATGAGTAAATATGTTTTTAATCACTTCTCCTAAATAAGGAGCTGAGAGACTGAGCTACAGCTCTGACTTGGTGCTGTTACAAGCTTTCGTCTTGTGTCAGCTTTGCATGTATTATAAAATCTGTTCATAGTACATAAAAACACACAAATCATATTACTGAGCTGCAAAACCCCACTGCTGATACATCAAAGAAAGCAGCAGCTGTCATCCAGTTTTAGCCATGGTGCTTTTGAATGCCTTAATCCTCTTCCCAAACAGAATAAGGCAGAGAGAGTGCACTTTCTTTATCCACCCCCTCTTCTATTTTTTTGAAGTTTTGGTAGCAAAACAGAAGCTGTGTTCAGCAGCCGTTATTGCATGGCACAAGGCATAATTTTCTTTGCATCTGATATGGACATTTCAGTCTTCATGTGTGCTAAGCCCTTTCAAATGTACTTTTTATTAGAAATTACTTTGTGTTTATTCACAGGTGCTCAAAGTATCAAAGTGATTTTTCAGTTATACTTCATTTTTATTTCAGTTTCCTTCAAACTGGTATTCTGTGTTCCCTTTCAGCTGCTGAAGGGGGGTATATGTTGGAATTGTACTCAGAACCTGAGTTACAGGAAACACATGTCTACCATTGGAATGATTATATTTTACTTTGTGTGACTTCCACATTTTTAGATACTTTTTTTAAACAATACAAGTTTTACAAGACAGTTACTACAAAACAGCTTCCCTAAGAAGTGAGCAAGATGTACTACAAATATAAATTTAATCTTTTAGATTAGATTAATTAATCTTTTAGAGCTGTCCCATCTCCAAAGTGGGTCATGGCAGAAGTCAGGGGAAGGGTATGAGAACTGAGCAAGAAAGCAGTGAGACCTCCCTGGCATACTTTCTTGTCTCAGTAGCACTTCCCAAGTCAGAAGCTCCTCTTTGAACTGAAAAAAACATATACAGGTTTTTCTTCTTCACTAATTTGCCTAATCACTTTCCCTAACTGCACTTTTTAATAAATACGTATAAAAACATTTCAAGGGAACAGCATGTGCAAAATTTTATATTGAACCAAGTTACCAAAATTATTTGAAATAAATTTTAAAAGAATGTGTTTTATGTATTGGGTTTTAAATTACTTTTTTTTGTTTATTAGCCACTGTCTTGGAAAGTGAATTTGCACTGCAAAGTAATCCCAACAGAGGAATGAGGTGCACAAGTGTAAAGCTGTCAGACTACAGCAATCATTAAATTGTTCGTATAGATAAACTAATTGGAAACGATTTTAAGTCTTTGCTAACCTTCAGCCTCTCAGACCAAAAATACTTTGTTGTGCTGACATAAGTAAGCAGCTAGAGTAAAACTTAATGTTTTAAGAATCCCTTTGTGCTGTCCTATTTACCCAAACAGAATTTCAAAACTCTGCAGTAAAAAGTGTGTCAACCAGGATCGCACTGAAAGGCAAATTAGAGAAAATGGCATTTGATGACAAGGTTTAGTATATTTAGAAATGCTCCTGTTATTAAAGTTGCTGCTGTGCCAACTACTCCTACACTGGAGTCTGCTAATTTGTGTGACATGATATCTATCCCAACACACAAGGAAGATCAGAGATTACAAGCAATAACTAACTCCAGTCCTACTTCCGTTGTCAGACAAGGATCTTCCAGCAGTGACATTACCTTCTTGTGGTTTTCTATTGCAATCCCATTTTCCCTTCCTTCTTCATTAATACCCATTTTCAAACTCCTCAGTTTGAAATGCCATCTATTTACATCTTTAAAATTCCAGAAGGTTCGGTGTTGCTCATAAGGAAAATAATTAATGCCAAGAGAGAAAATGTGCATTTAGCATTGCAGGATGTCCATGACAATCTTTTCCTAGCTCACACTGGATAAGAGGTCATTGGTTTGCTTTGCTCTTGACGGGGCACAAATAAGCAGCCTCAATTCAATGAAAAATTGAGGTACCACCTCATCATTATGGAATACAGTTGTTGGTAGTTTCAGTGGTATATGTGTGCCTCCACAACTGTGCAACAGGCACAGGAGTTCTTGTGGGCTGCTGTCCCAGTGCTCAATGAATAATACTGGGACATGCACAGCTGTGTCCAGACGCATCTCAGGTCAATGAAGAGACACAAACTGAAGGGCAGTTTCCATGTGTCATTAAACTGTAGGAGGAGGAAGGCATCTCATGTTAGTTTAGTCTTTCTTTTAATTTCTTCCCACCTGGCCCACAAAAAAAGATCATGTGCGTGCAATATAGTCTTACAAAGTAGAGTAGTGTTACTTTGAGGTTTGTAATATCAGAAGGAAGAAGGGAAAATAATCTTAAAATGTCCTCCTTTTTTTTAAGTGTTGAATTTTTATTTCAAATATTGAAATAAGAAAGTGGTAGGTATATGGTATGATCTGCTCTTGCTTGTTCTATGCTGTATTACTCAAGTGCTACTCTAGATATTAGCAGATAATTTTTCTCTTTGATTTTGATGTTTATTGCCCTCTCAGCAGGTGGGATTGTTATACAAACACCAGAAAAGGTTGTTCCACACTTGACCCATTCGTTCATGTAAATGGCATTAATATATATTTCTTTTTCTGTTTTTACAGGTTATTGAATCACTAGGGATTATTATATATAAAGCCCTGGACTATGGTTTGAAGGAAAATGAAGAGAGGGAATTAAGTCCTCCACTGGAACAGCTTATTGACTACATGACTAATGCCACAGAAACAGATGGGAGTAGGGATGAAGGATATGATGCCCTGGATGAAGGAGTGGAGGATGATGATGACAAAGAGGAAGTTGAGGCCATTCACTCCTATAAAGATGTCATGAAGGTACAGTAGTAGGCAGTTTATATGATAGTTCTGTCAATGAGAAAATCAACTCTGTTTTCTGTGTTATTGTTCTGTGTGATTCTGGCTGTGTCATTTTCTGATTTTCCTGGTCCTTTTATATAGTTTGCTTGTGAAAATGGCGTGCAGTATTGTTTCAAGTTTGACAGTAGGCAACAGCAAATCCATGATCAAATTTAGCATTGGATGTGCCATTAGTATCACAATCTGATTTAATCCCTGCACTGGATAGTCAGCCTTCTAGTGTAAACATCTGTTGAATTACATTGTGTACTCTCGGATACTTCATGGTATGTTTCAATTAATTCACCTTTTCATTAGCAGGTTATTATTGTAATTATTTCTTATCAGTTCCTTTGCTTGCCACCTCCTGAAGCACAGAAGTGCTTTTATAAGAGTAGCTTATTTGGATGGAGTGAGTCAGGACACAGTATTTCACTGGTGATCATTATGGTTGCAGTTCTTGACCTGAGTTGAGTGAGCTCTTATTACAGACAGAGGTATTAATAACTGTGGTTGAAAAGAAATTGTGTAATTGGTTTAACTCATAAATAATCTGAGAATTTAATACAGGTTGAAAAATATCATGCTAACTTGTAGGCCAAGGGGATCAGGCCATTTATAGTACTTTTTCATAAATGCAAGCCATATCTAAGGACTAGGAGCTTAGTACACCACAGAAATTGAGTGTCATGATGGAAGCTGAGACTAGAAGAATATCCCAAGTAGCACATCAGAACACCTTCAGTTCTGCTGGGTTAACAGTAGAGAGGAACTCTTGGGAGTCCAGAGGGGAAGTAACTTTGAGATGCTTTTGCATGCTCTTTGCATCAGAAGTAGTGCCAGATGCATAATGCCTTTGTTTTTCCTCCCTCCCTCAGAGAAGCAGAGGCCAGAGGGAGAATGAATGAAATGGTCTTTTGCTGCCCTGTGATGGGGAGGGTCTGGCTGGCTGCAGTGCTCTGCCCTTCAAGCCCCTGCCACTGCCATTCTTGCTGAGTTGTGGGCGCAGGTGCTTTGCTCTCTCCTCTCTCTGCCTCTCCCTGACACCCAGTCACCTGCTCCAGAGGGGCAAGCTAAGCCCCCATGCAAGCTGTTCCAGACAGTCTAGAGGAAATGTAGATTGATGGGATTCATTCCTCCTTTCCCCCTGGTTTGGCAAAATGCTGTGAATTGGTGACAGTTGAAGTTAGATTGTTAAGTACAAGTTTCACTTAGTGCAGAGGCAGATGAGACCTTTGTATACACAGAGCTGAAGACAGTGGCTTTGTGGAAGTGATTATTTTGCAAATTCTTTCTTGATTTCTGCAAACAGTAAAAGATAAATCTGGAAAACTTTGCTAAACTCCTTTGGGTACACTGATGTAAACATCCCTGAAATACAAAAGCGGTAAGAAAATTCAACAGGTTCCAACAGTTAAGGCCATGGAATGGCATTCTTTTCATTTGCCTTTGCTAATATCTCTGCTAGTCTGAGGTACCTGCCTGTTTGTATGTTTTAAAATCAGCATCTTATATTTTATTTCTTCATCATATTTTATTAATAATTTAATATAATTCCAGACACATACTGCTTCTGTGACTTTATCTTAGTAAATGGAAGGTCAGCAGTCATTTGTACATCATCCTAACTTTTACTCCTCCATCCCTTGGAAATCTCTGTTGTTTATTTGTCTAAATTATGTGCTGCAGGCTTAACTCTGCAAATTACCTTTATTCCCTAATCAGTGTTGTTACTGCATTGAGAGGAATAGAATGGCAACATTGTTCTGCTGTATTTTTGACATGAGTGCACATTTGCAAGGTCTTTTTTCCTTGACTTAATACCTTTTTAGGGATAAAGACCATCTTTAAAGCATGTGGCTTTCTCTTATTTCCCCCCCCCGCCCCCCCCAGCCGTGGTTAAATGTTAGAGGCTACACCCTTATTTACCCAGTGACTGTTTCACAACAGTAGTGTGTGATCTTGTGACCATGAGGCTCAATTATTTTAAGTCCCTCTTGGCAAGACTCACTGTGAAGCTTTTTCCTCCACAGTTTGTAGTGAATGCTGAAGCAGGTTTGCTTATTGAATTGAGAACTGTTGTTCTTGCCTCCCCCGCATTCTCTACATCACAAGATTGGAAAATGGTAGAGATGGACTGTGTGCTACTAATACTGATTTTTAAAGTTTTTAACTATGTAGTCTCCAGTCTCAAAAATTATTTTGTCCTTGAAAAGCAATTATATGGTTTCTCCTCCAAAAACTGTCGTTGTCTGGTCCATTGTCTGCCTGCCACTAAAACGGAACTTTTCACCATTAATCACCAACTTGGGTGAGCATATTTTGTGATTAAAACACAGAGGTGTAAAGTTTTTCTGTAATGTAAAGTAACCAAGGTCAATTCTGCACCCTTCCTCTAGCTTGGAAAATGCTGAGTAATGTGGCAAACGCTGATTCCCAAGAACTGGGAACAGGGTAAGTGCTAAAAAGTACTGCCAAAATCATCATTGGCAAAGCCAGTGGGGAAGACACAGACAAGCTTTTGTGCTGCTTCTTGGTGTATTTGGCTGATTTAGCTTTTGATTTCCTTGGCAGGACCAACCTGCTGCCCAGACTTGACCTACTGTTTTTAAAAATTCATCTGTGAAGAGACATTGGTTGCCAGAAGCTTTTAGTGTTTGATATATTTCTGATGTGTCAGCTCTGCTGCAAATGAAGGGAAAAACAGAGACAGAAAACCTGGACATTTTCAGACAGATGCTTTCCTTGTCTGAGTCCCTCTCCTCCACCCCACCCATCCACTGTGTGTACACACCGTGCTGTGTGGTGCAGGAAATGTGTCCATGTCAGGAGTGCCAGGTTCGCACTGCCTGTACACAAGACACAGTAATCCCGAGGGATTGGGAACACACTGGGCTGACAGCACCTGTACACCTTGGGAAGCCTTGGTCAACAGAGAATATACACAGGGAAGGCCTGGCATGCCAGACAGTGTTTTGGCTTGCTAAGGGTGTGGGAAGTCCTATCATGTGGCACCTTTATCACACCATGGGGCCCTCCCTGATACTGAAACAAGATGATGCAGTTTATCAACCTCTTACAGAGTATTCTCAAACCCTAATTCCACTCCTAAACTTAACATTATCACACTCCTTATCCCACAGATCTCTGCAGTCAGATGGTTTAAACCAACAACATTTTTCATGTTAACCCAGAGGCACTTTCTAAGCTGCGATTAATCAATATCTGCTGGCTTGAGCCCCAACCCTAAACCCAGTTACAATATTATACTTCATTCTAGGTCAACACCCCTTTCTAATTCTAGATTTAAAGGAAACCTCATAAGGCTTTGATAGCAGGTTTTATTCTGTGCTGGTATTTGCTGGGCTGAACTGCCATTCTAGCCCTGTCATTTCTTCCAGATTTGAACATCATTGTAGCCATTGTAGCTGCTGCCAGTACTAGACTTTACCTCAGCCCTTGTGCAGAGCAGAGATGTTGTAGAGGTGTTGTCAATGTGCCTACAAGTCACAACACTAACCTTTGTCACTGCCTTGCTACCTTTTTATGTAGGTCTTGTAGAAGGTAGATAAAGGAGGCAGTGCCTTTTCCGAACCAGTATCTATCTCTAACTTATGTTCACCTTTCATCCCAAAAGTTAACTCAGCTTTTAACATGAACCTGTAGCTAAGCCACACCTTCTTGTCTAGGACACAAATACAGGTGGATGGTCTCTGCTGCTCAATGGCTTCAGGTCCCAGGTCTTACCTAACTAATTGCTTTTAAGAAGTTCAGTAATAGTGTTTGTTAATTCTGACCAAAAATTAATCGTCATGCAAGTGGTTCTTCACAAAGGTGAATGAGTGGCCCAGGTCTCATGGTGAACAAAACCCATACGTAGAAAATCTCCATGCTGACTTAATTTGCAAGAAATTTTCTTTCAGGGCAGCGTGGTCAGCATTGTGTTATCTCGCTATAAGAAATGTAAACAAGGACGCAGTTTGCAGTATTTTTATTGGTAGAAAATTAAGTTTGTGCTTTGCAAAGAGGAAGAATAAATTGTTTTTCTCAACCTCAAACACTCCTCCTCTCCCATTTCAGTTATTTTAATCATTGGCATGGTCATGAGATGAGAAACTTGTATGTTTAGGTGACTCATATGTCTTGGTAGTTCAAGGATATGACTGACTCCTTTCAGCTGGAAGGAACTGAAATGTACAATGGTGATATTGATCTGCCTCTGTTTTGAGTATTCTGATAGTAGTACAAATCTACCATCTATGGCATGTGTAAGATTATAGGCGAAAAGAAAAGTATGTCCTGTCTCAATGCAATTATAGGCAGGATAAGAAGATCTACATTTAGATCTCAGTATTTTGGAGACTCCCTTCTGAGTCTGAGGACTATTATCATAGAGATGCTGTGACCCCATGTAAGTATAATATGGGAACCTGTGAGAGAGGAACCAGAAAATGCAGTTAAAAACAAGTCAGGGTATTTGTTTATGACAGTTAAAGAGTTCATGTTGCTGGAATTCAAAGGCCCATAATTTTGTCTAGTCCAAGCTTAGTAAGGTGCAGCTTTCTGTGAGTGCAATTCAGTTTAAGGCTGGGCTTAAGCATTTTTGTATGAGCCTGCAGAGCAGTATTTATACTTCATTTCAAAACAAGCATCTTGCACTGTACTGTCTGTGAAGCTGGTGAAGATTTGGCAACTTACTTAGATGGTAAAGAAAGTCACAGATGGTGCCAATTAATTTTATATTAAAAAGGAATGCAGCATTGTTGGCTATTTGTGAAAATTCTCATGCTCAAAAAAGACAACAATGGATCCTCTCCCTTCTCTTGCATCCTGTACGCAAATGTACTCACATGTGCTAGTCTGGGTAGATCTCATTTTAGAAAAACATGATTCTTGCCTGATGTGCATGAAGAGACATTGAAATTACAGTGGGTTGGAAGTCCTCAGTTCGCTTTTGTTCTCACAGTACTTGCTGGCTT